GTTTATTGTTACCTATCACTGTCCCTATTTCCGTCTCCGAGTCCAACTGCAAGAGGTGTGTTAGTTTCAGCTTCTTTGGATCCAGTAAGGCACAGACGATTGTATATGCACAAGATTAACCCAGGTTTTGTTACGGGTTCACAGGCGATCAAGACTTATTAAATGACTACACCTTGACCTCTGAAAGATGTTTCTTAGAGGAACATGAATGAGAGACTATTAGCATTGGAAGCTATGTCAACCTAGAAGGGTGACCACAGAATACTGAAGGGCAATAGCTTGTACCCTATCATTACGATATAGCACTCTTTGTAGACGGTGCTAAAATGCAATGACGAACAATAAAACATTTAATTTTTTAAAATAAGGAATAACAGTTAACTCACTTTAATATCATATGCTCTACAGAACAGATCCAACAATGTAGCTTTTTGAAGTGAACATTGAGTGAGTATCAAACACTAGGAAAGAAATTGGTGAAACTAATTATTTCAGTAGCAAATTTACAGTTAATTTAAATCATATACACAAGGGATAAGATTCTTCTTTTATTCGAAACACATAATTATTGGTACGGACAGGCACCAAAATATTTCATACAAATAACAAACTGACACCAGCTAGAGTAGCATTAAAAACTAGGCATAAATTAACTATTCTGTCCGAATTTGGAACTTCTTAAATTCTGCCTCAATGATTTAAACGATACAACGCTTTCTAAGGTGACTGATGGAGTACAAATTAGTCTTGACGACAGTAATGTGTATGCAATGCTATCATAAAATAGAATAGCGCTAAGAAAGGCTTTTTCGTGACCAATTTTAGTTTTTATATAGGAAAAATAAAATAAAAATCTTACATCGACTTTCGTAGATGATCCTTCGTCGACTAATGGCTTTAGGATATTCTTATTAGCAGGTTCAGAAAGAGGGCAACGAATATCCGTGACATCTCCCGTTTCTAAAGTAACACGAACATAGGGATTTAAAGCCGTTAGACGATCAAGACTTGCTTCAGCTCTGAACGTTTGAAGAAGATAAACAGAAATAAAAGAAAGTAACACTGTTAACCGAAGCAGATTTCGAATCTGCAACCAAATCAAATATTTAAGCTAATGAGACAAATAAAAGGAAAAACATTTATAATTACTTGTTTTTAATTCACCAGGTGCAGATTCGTGTATTTGACTGCGAAGCACACTATGTTTGGGGGATTCATGATACTATCTGGTCGCCTAAACCAAAATAAATGGAGCGAGGGTTGAACCCGCGACTTAGTGGCCGAACCGAATGCCTTGGAAATCGAGCCACTGTCCCATTCAGTGTTATTAATGACACACTATATGAAGCACTAAACGTAAAGTCAAAAGTACAATTTTATTTGAATGATTTAGCTGGCGTGTCGTTTACTTTGGATTGCAAATATTAAACATTGCAGGTTAAGACTTTATTTGCCACATCCATTTTTCTGGTTTTATGTTTAACTGAAAAAATAATTGACATTTCTTTACGTTTTGCCTTCATTTTGTGATTTGAACCCAGAGTTTGATCATACAATTGGCTTAACATTTAATATTGATTCCGAAGATAGGTTGACTGACATATGAATACAAAAACATTATTCTCGCTCAACCTCGTAAAAACTGTGTACCTCACGCAAAAAATTGGGAACTGGTTCTTTTGTATCTTTTAAGAAAATAACTGTCAGGAGATTTATTTTATTAGAGATGTATGAATGACAGTCAAGCCTCTCAAAAAGTTTTATAAGCGAAATTTGTTATGAGCATGTGGCTTCTGGAATGTCGTTCAATAATGTTATCTTGTAGACCCATATACGAACTAATACACAACCATTTGAACCATTTGAAACGTAAGTTATTTCAATCGCCATCGAAAGTATTAGGTGAGAAGGTTTAAGAGTATCCTGTGTTGGTGGACTCAAGTTTCATGAGTTTAACCGTGAATTTTCGATAATAAATAAAACTAAGAAAAATTAAAACAATGAGTCAAAATTTTACCTAGTTTTCGAACCTTTAACATTATATTCATCCACGTAAAATTGAGTTCCTAAATCCTGTTTGGAACATAAAGATCGGTCTTGAATTATGAGTTCACCAACTCCAGCCAGAACTAGATTTTTCGCTATTTGCGAAGCAATTACTAATAAAATAATATACCTATTTCTATTCCAACACCTCCCAAGCCATGTAAAAATACTTTAGATTTACACATTCTTTTCATTGCGTTTTCCCCCAGAACACATCTTTGTCGGCTGCAAAATAAATATGATTTTGCAGGAGATCAAACCTGTATAAAGAGTCATCGATATCACAAGACATGTTATGCAACGCACACACAAAATTAGCCGCCAAGGTCAGTAGGACGTATGGTTCTAATGGTTATGTGAAGAATAAAGCTTTCGTTTACCTTCCTTCCGTATGTAGTAAAAGGATGCTTTTAAGTACAGAACTGGGTTGATTGGTTGATGAACACATAAATATTCCTTACTAATTCATTCATTGTACCTTACGAAAAATAGGGTGAATTTATCCGTAACGCAACCATGTAATCAGAATAGGTTTTGTGGAGAGTTTTAGAAATTTCACAGGTTGCAATCATGAGTCAGTTGAAGCTAGACCACCATTGAAAACCTGGAAGCACTGGACGGCCGTTTCGTACTGGTATGGGACTCCTCAGCAGTGCGCATCCACGATCCCGCACCACGCGGGGCTCGCGCGTGAAGGCAGTAGGTCCTTTACACACACTATGCAGGTAGGATCGACCAACTATTCAATATACAATTGTCGTGTGAGTTATACCTATGACAGTCATTTCTCTCTTGGATAGCTCAGTTGTCACCTCTCGGATTGCGGTCTAGGGTCCCAACGTTAGAAACCACTCGTCATTTTTAAACCACTGATATTATTGACAAGTGGTTTCAAAGACAAAAGTTCTAGTTAGTTATTTTCAGTATCTCAATTATACAACTATGGTGTTTGAATGAACTAATAATTCCTCTATACTTATTGAATGCTTGATTTCGAATTCCGAATACAGTACACTTGTTAGTGCTTATCTGGTACTTCTTGATTCGATTACGTTATTTCTGGGATTCTTAGTTCAGACTGTAATTCAAATACTTCTAATCATCATAATAACTTGTACATTACTCCAACTCAATGCTTGAGGGCACTTAGCCATGTTGGTAGATACATACAATCTGGTTGGGGGTCCGCACGATATAAATAGTAGTTGGACACGTTGATTAACATGACTTAATGATTGTTATCTTGTTGCGATTTGTTGTGACAACTTAAACCAATTAACAAATGTTCTACGTCCTCTGTCGCATATGACTGACTAACTAATTAGGCAGATAGGTAACTCAAATTCTCACTTTTAAAAACTTCCAATTGAGACACAAGGAAGTCATATGAAAGACAAGTATGTCCATCACTGTGGAAGAACTATAAAAAAATATGGTTTAGATAAATAGACCTTGTGTTAGAAGGGATACGTCACGTTGCAATGTTAAACTCACCAACTCTTCCATCGATATTGCGTCATTTTTATGATTATCGAATGCTAATTATTAAGCTTAGATATGACGGATCAAGAAGTCGATTAATACCATAGATTAAATAGCATGATGTCAGTCATCCCCCCCCCACCGAAGTTGTTCCCAACCTGAATAAACAAATCATAACATTTCTAATTGTGATTTAACTCTATCACCAAGTACAGATTCGCGTACTTCCCTATAAGTCATATTTACATGTGTGTGCGGGGGGGATTGTGATACTACCCGACTGCCCAAACAGACGCAAATGGTTCAGGACCTAAAGATTTTTGACCTAAAAGTGTCAACTAGTGACGCAAGTTCGCACCCTTTACATAACATCATATTCATAAGTTTTGGAAATAAACATGGTTGATGAATACCAGTCAGTAGACACTCCATTTTTAAATGTTCTGTTCAACTTACTACACTAACCATCTAACAATACGAAATTTACAAAAATGTAAAGCAGAGCAGATCTTATGTCTCACAAAACATATCTAAAAAGTTCAAGTTTAAAAAGGTTACTTTAACACATTAAAAACAAATTCAATTAAATCACTAGTGTACAAAATGAAATAATAGCAAGATATTACTGTTAATTTATTTTGGTTTATTGGTAGTATGATGAAATAACTAATAAAATGCTAAATATGATTAGATAAAGAGTGCAGAGAGAGAGAGTGAGATAATGTGGACAAAAACAATAAAAATCATAGGAATGAAAACAAAATGTAAATAGATATTACTTGAGATTTCTAATCACTTGTAAGTAGTAGTATTAGTAGTAATTACTGAAATAGAGAATACGAAGTGAAGCAATAGAGGACAGATAGGGAAAGTTTATAAACAATATGTAGGAATGAATTGGTACAAAGCAAAATCATGAATAGATGGAATGATTAGGCAGAATAATCGACAAAACAATAGCTTACAATAACAATTAATATAATCATTAATTTTAGATGGGGAAAAAAAAAGTACACAAGAACATATATGTATGTTGAAAGAATCAAAGAATAATTGAATAATAAACACGGGATCGAACATAGAAATGCACAAATGAATACTTACCATTATGTTCATCATTCTTTATACAATTGTATACCTATCACTATATTGAATGATGAACATACAAATAGACGTTTACACATGTGTAGTAAGCAAATTTAAGGGTGGTTTGTAGACTGAAGATCTTTATTAGATGAGAGAAAAAAAGATAAGCATTTGAATTGAATGGAAACTATGCATAGTTGGTTATTATGCCAAATTTTGTATTTGTATATGGGTCTATATATATATGATTGCATTTCTCGCAATGTTGAATAAACAAAACAGTTATAATCATTCATTTAAACAAACAGTAGTATAGAAGTTGATTTGTTGAAATGAAGATAAAAAGCTGATGAGTTTGAAAAATACAAACAAAGAAAATTGTCTGTTTAACATCTTGTTTCATATAAACCACTTTTACCAATATAGCGAACCCATTTCACTACATCATGATCTGAATAATTCAATTTAGATTCGAACACTTTTAAGAAACGAACTTTAAATCCAGACGGTGCAAATGGTACCTAATATCATTATAATTACCATCAACATTGAAAATAGTATGTTGTTTTTTTTAGGGTGGGGGGGGGAGAGGAGAGGAGAGCATGAAAGTATATATAATTAATGAGTATCAATCGTTTTCAAAATCAATAAGAATTTATAAAAAAAAATCAATGAAATCAACAAGTAAATAATTGTACTCATTTATTTTTATGTTGCTATTTGACATTATACAATCAATTTGACGTGTAGCAAATAGTTGTTATCACACACCTTTGGGTAAATAAATCATTCTATTTATCCTATATCACATCTATATATGTGAGACTTTGCTAATTATTCATGTGTAACATTAAGTATGCTCCCAAAATGACGTGCTACGGAGGAGAGTAGGGAGAGTCAGTCCTCCCTCTCGAAATGCTCTTACATGACCATGCGTATACAGTCACTGACAGGGAATTCCTAATCACTGCCTTCTCGTCGCATTACCATTGTTTACAAAATTGAAGGGATGAAAGTCGAATGTCCGGCGCTTTAATCCGGTTAGTGGATATGGAGGATCCACCTAGGGGAGTTGGAAAACTCTCATTCCAAACCAATGGTGTACATGAGCTCCAGGATCCTAAGGAAACAAATGGCGTATGAACCTATTGTTGGTCACTGGTTACCATGGGACCGCATCTCCTAACGTTGCTCCACTACCTCGTTGGTCAGACCTATAGGTCAAAGGCTCCGGGTGTGGTCTCCTGAGAAAACTATCTACTTCGGTTTTGGCACCCGGGTAGTATTACAGCCCTCACACAATTCGAATGAATGAGTTATGTGGCACATATCTATTTGGTGCCTTCTTGTACTAATGTTTGTGTTTAAAGAATAATAATGGTTTATACATGAGTGTATACTTGAACATGTGTTTGTATACTTTACTTATTTGCATCTCTTTGATGGTTAGAAAAATTGAGTTACTTATTACTCACTGAGTTCGTTATTTCTGCCACTCCAGTTCAAGTAAATCTCTTCTCATCTCTTATCATTCGTCTGTCCGAATGAATGTCTGACATATATGTTTTTTTAAATACTTTCATATTCGAATTCTGATATGCATATTGTTATTAACGGGATGCGCCGACAGAATATATACGAAGTAAATAAGACATACATTTCATTAACATTAATATAATTTCATAATTACGAACTCAGATCGCGGGTCTCGAGACTTACAGACGAGTAGAACGTTTTTAATCGCTTAACCCTAGATAATCGTAATACATACATGGATGATGATTACGATGATAATGATCCCAAATTTATTAGATATGATTTATTCATTTGCCCAGGTACAGGTTTAAATACTCATCTTTGAGTCACACTTTAGTTATATGGGGCCTAGTGATAATATCCCACTAAGTGAATTCGATGGGGTAACGACGGGGAGAGCTGCCAAGTTAATTTATTTATTAGTTTGAACACATAAATATTGGTACAAAGAGGCACCACACAAGTCACTTGATTTGTGTGTGGGTTATGACAGTGCCCGGGTGCCTAAACCGAAGCAGGTGGTATTCTTGAGAAGCCACGCCCAGAGCTTTTGACCTAAAGATTTGATAGACAAGGCAGTGGAGCAACATAAGGAGATGCAGCCCCATGGTAATCGGTGACCAATAATTGGTTCATACGCCATTTGTTCCCTCGGAATTCTGGAGCCCATGCGCACCATTAGTTTGGAATTGGGGTTTTCCACTTCCCCTAAGTGGATCCTCCGTGCCCGAAACTCCAATCTACTGACTGAAAACCGAATGTTTAAACAACTAAGTCACTATTCCACATCATCATTTATTAAGCCTATCTACTAATGCTACTATGTTTTTTTTAGTTTCCAACGATTGTTGTCGATCACTCATAATCGGCGTAGAGCTTGGGACCAATGTGTTTTAGTCCAATTTCCTACACTGTGCCGATACGGCAAGGTAAGATCTACGGGACAACAACAGACATTATAACCAAAGGCAGATGGCGGCTAGTAGTGGAATTCAGGATGCACGTTCTATCCTATTTGAGAATCATCAGCTGGATGTAACTGAATAACAAGAGTCAAAATAATCGTAGTAGCAATTATGAATGAGCAAAGCTAAACATTGAGAATATGGCTACAGAAGACTGAGTGTAAAAATATATGGAGATACTGGATTATGAGGAAGACAAATAAACGGTGAATGCATCGATGATACTGTGGCTGACTCTAAACAATGTCACTTCTTGTTGTGATAATAAGTACTGAACGATCAGATCTATACGAAACGGCGCTTAAAAAGTTACTATACATAAGGATTATAATAATAGTAACATGAAAAATGATAAACGAACCTCGAAATTCATAGAAATCGGTGGACGCATCCAACGTTTTTGTTTATCTGAAGCTTGTAACAATTCAATTTCCGCAGATAATTGACAATCTTTCATACCAGATATTCGTCTAATCCTAAAAAAATATAAACATATAGTAGAAGTTATAACTCGTTACTACTACTCCTCGCCCATCCTACTAGGGACATAACATTTAAATAAGTTTGCCAAAGAAATTCATTCAAAGTTCGATCATTATGGACATTGACTAATCGTATGAGATTTCAAGTTATCCAAATGAGGTAACTGCAACTAATCATTAAATTTACATGCAACATTTACCTTTTTATCAAGTTATGCCAGAATTCTTTATATGTTGAATCTCATGAAATTACTTGATATGAACATTACAGATATTTTCCAAACAGAATACACGAGATGGGAGAATAAAAAAATATCAATAATATCCAAGACAGAAATTAAAGAACATAAAGAATGAAGGCAACTGAGGTTAACTGTGATTGGGTGAGATTTTGGAAGCTGATCTGATGGAAGCAAGTAGTTGTAGTGTGGATTTATTACTTGGAGAAAGGCTTTTTGATGCTGTGTGCGCAGAAGATAGTTTTACTGTGTGACGTGGTCACACCACATAATCCTCACTTAATCAGTTGACAATCAATATCCGTAGTTCTGGCATGTGCTTCGCACACGTAGGACCTTGATCCTGTACTCACTCTGGGTAGTCAACAGTTAGAAGTAGTAGAGAATTTCGTGTCAATCAGTAGCTGAGTAATTGCTGGCTGTTGAGTTAGGGATGAGATCAACTCACGTATAGTCAAAACCAGAGGGGCTTACACCAATCTGAACCATTTTCAGCGCCTTCGTAATGTTAGTCAGGCTGTAAAAGGTCGGATCTACAATGCATCGGCAAGAGCAGTCTTGCTCTATGCTTTCGAAACCTAGTCCCTCTGAGTTGAGAATTTTAAGGAGCTTTCTGAGTTTGATCCTTGTTTTTGAAGGATTGCTTCCATCCAGTTCCAACACCATGTTAGTAACACAGAGGTTCCAAAATACGTGTTCTGGTAGGTTAACGACAATTCAGTTGGTGTTACTATCTTGCAACACCAGCTCTGGGTGCTTCAACATGTTATATCAATGTCTTCCCAGATACTTCCAGATGGACGATAAGACTGGTTAGAAAAAGTAAAGAAATGATCAATTCATCGCATAGCCATCAGGGATGGAATAATGCTGCATAGGACAGTCGTCTATCGGTTCATCACAATTCCCTGGTCCGGGCCTTCAAAGACAGAGCAACTCAAAAGTTTGAAACGTTATCAGACATCAATCAGAATAGAAGTCAATGACGATCCTATAATAATTTTCGCTTACGTTTTTCATAATAGTGAAAGGAACTCCTTTAACTGGAACGATTCTTTCCAGTCGTATCTTTGTAAACTAAACTCCATTTCTCAGTACATTCTACTGTTGTTAATTTATTTTCACTCATTTAATTACCTTTTTCACCATATTTACTCTGAATTCTTCATGCCTCTTTCTTTTTTCCTCTTTCCAAATTTGTTTCACTGGATTAACTCCGCCTGTAGCTCTTCTAGAGTTACTGCCGGTCCCAAGCCCGGGTAAAGGAGGAGGGTTGGGCATGGGGTTAGCGACCCCATCCCGTAAAAAACTAACTCGCTAAAAAAACGCTTACCAGAAAAAATAATTCAAACCATTTTAACTCTGCCCTGGGAGTTACAAGGTCTTCATTTAGAACAATTATGACGCTTCATGGTGAAAGCCGAGTCCCTTCGGAAGCCACGAGGCCGATGCCCATTCTAACAACCAGAGCAACAATTTTTATAAGTACATGGAACGTCCGAACAATGTTGGAGACCGGGAAGACCAGTCAAATAGCAACGGAAATGAGGAGATACAATTTGACAGTACTGGGAATCAGCGAAACCCACTGGACCCAAGCTGGACAACAAAGACTAAATACGGGAGAGATGCTGCTATACTCCGGTCACGAACGGGAAAATGCTCCACACACTCAGGGAGTCGCTCTAATGCTGTCCAAGGTAGCACGAATTGCACTCGCAGGATGGGAATCTCACGGATCCAGAATCATCAAAGCATCATTCAAAACAAAGAAGGAGGGGATCTTAATGAATATTATCCAATGTTATGCACCCACCAATGATAGCAACGACGACATTAAAGATTAATTCTACGAGCGGCTGCAGTCAATCATAGAGAAATGTTCAAGAAAGGACCTCACCATTCTGATGGGAGATCTAAATGCCAAGGTCGGAATAGAAAACACTGGATATGAAAATATTATGGGACGACATGGACTGGGAGAGAGGAACGAAAATGGAGAACGATTGGCAAATTTGTGTGCATTCAACAAATTAGTCATAGGAGGCACAATATTTCCACACAAACGTATACACAAGGCTACATGGATCTCACCGGACCACACTACAGAGAACCAGATAGACCATATTTGCATCAACAAAAAATTCCGAAGGACAATGGAAGATGTGAGAACCAGGAGAGGAGCTGATGTAGCTTCAGATCACCACCTAGTTGTAGCCAATTTAAAACTGAAGCTAAAAATGAACTGGACCAGTGGACAAACAGCATTACAAAGGTTCAATACAGCCTTCCTTCGAGATACTGACAAACTCAATGAATTCAAGATAGCTCTCAACAACAGGTTCCAAGCCTTTCAAGATCTACTGAAGGAAGAAGAAACTACCATGGAGGACAACTGGAAAGGCATCAAAGAAACATTGACTTCAACGTGTCAAGAGGTTCTGGGCCTAAAGAAACACCATCATAAGGAATGGATCTCTATAGAAACACTGGACAAGATCAAAGAAAGGAAGAACAAGAAGACAGCAATTAACAACAGCCGAACACGAGCAGAGAAAGTCCAAGCACAAGCTGAATACATAGAAGCAAACAAGCAAGTGAAGAGGAGCATTAGAGCCGACAGGAAGAAATACGTGGAAGAATTAGCAACGACGGCAGAAAAAGCTGCTAGAGAAGGAAATATGAAACAGCTCTACGATACAACGAAGAAACTATCAGAGAAATACAGTAAACCAGAGAGGCCGGTCAAAGACAAAGAAGGCAAGCCAATCACTGAAATTCAACAACAGCGAAACAGATGGGTAGAATACTTCGAGGAACTCCTGAATAGGCCGGCTCCAATGAATCCACCGAACATCGAAGCAGCACACACAGATCTTCCTATAGATGTCAACCCACCAACGACGGAAGAAATTAGAATGGCCGTCAGACAAATCAAGAACGGGAAAGCAGCAGGACCCGACAACATACCAGCTGAAGCACTGAAATCAGACGACGAAGTAACCACAAGCATGCTTTACCCTCTATTCAAAAAGATTTGGGAGGAGGAACAAGTGCCAATGGACTGGAAAGAAGGACACCTCATCAAGATTCCAAAGAAAGGAGATCTGAGCAAATGTGAAAACTACAGAGGCATTACACTACTGTCAATACCAGGGAAAGTCTTCAACAGAGTGTTGCTGAACCGGATGAAGGATGCAGTAGATGCCCAACTTCGAGATCAACAAGCTGGATTCCGAAAGGATCGGTCGTGCACAGACGAAATTGCAACACTACGGATCATCGTCGAACAATCAGTTGAGTGGAACTCGTCACTATACATCAACTTTATTGATTATGAAAAGGCATTTGACAGTGTAGATAGGAGGACATTATGGAAACTTCTTCGACACTACGGAGTTCCTGAGAAGATTGTCAATATTATCCGGAACTCATACGACGGACTACAGTGCAAAGTAGTGCATGGAGGACAGCTGACGGATGCATTCCAAGTAAGGACCGGAGTCAGACAAGGCTGTTTACTCTCTCCCTTCCTCTTTCTTCTGGTGGTCGACTGGATTATGAAGACCTCGACATCTGAAGGAAAACACGGAATACAATGGACAGCTCAGAACCAATTAGACGATCTGGACTTCGCAGATGACCTAGCCCTCCTATCACGTACACACGAACAGATGCAGATGAAAACAGCCAGTGTAGCAGCAGTCTCTGCATCAGTAGGCCTCAGTATACACAAAGGGAAAACCAAGGTCCTCAAATTCAAAGCGGAAAACAGCAATCCAATGACCCTTGATGGCGAAACTCTGGAAGATGTAGAATCCTTCACATATCTGGGAAGCATCGTCGATAGACAAGGAGGTTCAGATGCAGACGTAAAGGCGAGGATTGGCAAAGCAAGGGCCGCATTCCTACAATTGAAGAACATATGGAACTCAAAACAACTTCCAACCAATATCAAAGTGAGAATCTTCAATACGAACGTCAAGGCAATTCTACTGTATGGAGCAGAAACTTGGAGAACTACAACAACCACAATCAAGAAAGTACAAGTATTTATAAATAGCTGTCTACGCAAGATACTTAACATCCATTGGCCGGATACCATCAGCAATAGCCTTCTGTGGGAGAGAACAAACCAACTTCCAGCTGAAGAGGAAATTATGAAAAGACGATGGAAATGGATAGGACATACATTACGCAAATCGTCAAACTGCATCACGAGGCAAGCTCTAACTTGGAATCCTGAAGGGAAGCGGAAAAGAGGAAGGTCAAAGAACACATTACGTCGGATAATAGAAGCAGATATGAAAAGGATGAATTACAACTGGAAGGAGCTGGAAAGGATTGCCCAGGACAGGGTTGGATGGAGAATGCTGGTGAGCGACCTATGCTCCTTCACGAGGAGTAACAGGTGTAATTAAGTAAGTAAGTAAAGTAAGTAAGGATTATACTCTTTAAATAACATCTCCAAACCCTAATCTTCCCGATTACTGCTTATACTCTTGCTACCTCTACCACTACGGGATTTGAATCGACCACTGCATCACTGTGCTAATGTGGTGTGGCAACTCGAACTGATGTACGTACGTACGAAGTTCTACGTTGTTACTGACTGACTGACTGATTTACTCTACTTCCTTTATTTCTTCACAATTTCATTCACTTATTCATGTGGCGCGTATTTATTCTGACACCGATTTAATGAAGTGGTCAAACTTCATCAGTTGAGATGGCTGGGACATGTGTTACGCATACTCAACAACCGACTGCTTCGACGTGCTATGTTCAGTGGTATAGGAGTAGGATGGAAGAAAGCTAGGGGCGGCCAAACCAAAACATGGCACAAGTCCATGAAGTCACTGACAAGTGGACTGAGTCATGTTGGTAGGTGTAGACTACCTGGTTGGGGACCACGAGATGATAGCAACCGATGGTTAGAGACTCTGAATGACATGGCTCAAAATCGTTTGCAATGGCGCAGGTGCATCCACTCTTTGTGTTCTCCTAAATTCTAATCTTCTGAATTCTTCATGTCCCTTTTTTCCTCTTTCCAAATTTATTTCACTGTATTATACTCCTTCAATAACATCTTCAAACTTTAATTCGAATCGACAACTGCATCTCTGTGCTAATGTGGTATGGTAACTCGAACTGACGTACGTACGTACGTACGAAGTTCTACGTTGTTACTGAATGACATGCTAATATATATGTGTTCAAATAAATAAATCTAAATAATCATTTCACCGAATGTCAACCAATATCTTCAACTGTTAATTACGGCTACTGAGCAGTCTCTAACTAAAGAGTTTGGACATATTGACATGGAGGACTTAATGCAACAACAATGAACAACATCATGTATTCGGGCTTTAAGATATATCTTTGATGTGATGTTAATTGATGATAACCTACTTTCTTTAAAACAAAAACAAACAAACATTCAATGTGACTTATTCACTAAATACAAGTTTATGTAATCAACTTTGAGCTCCACTATTTGAGTGAGGACCAGCAGTGTTATTGCTTGAGAGTTTAAATTAAAAAATCTATTAAATATTTGGTCTATAGTATTTTTATACTACTCTTATATAAGCCTTCATTCCATTAGTTAGCTGTTGATAGATATACTTTCTAGTATATGTTTTAAATTATCGTAAATTAATTATAGACTTGTAACTCAGTTGTGTATCATATGTAACCCAGTTATGTATACATTGTAATTTCTTATTCGCAGTGCATTGTGATTATGTAACTGATGTATGCAAGCCTATTAGTTTCTAAGTCATGATGGCAACACAATAATAAAAGGTGAATCGTCTGGTTTTGTTCTGATTGGTCACTGGAGATAAACATTTATTTTATTTATTTATTTGAACACAAATATTGATAAAAAGAAGCCCCGAATAAATATATACCACACAAGTCACCTGATTTGTGTGTGGGGTATGGTACTGCTGGGTGGTCAAACCAAAGCAGATAGTTTTGTTGGGGACCACGCCCGGAGCCTTCGAGATCAAGATCTGATCCACAAGGTAGTGAAGCAACGTTAGGAGATGCAGTCCCATGGTATCCGGTGACCAATAACTGGTTCATACGCCATTTGTTCCCTTAGGATTTTAGAGCCCATGCTCACCATTGGTTCGGAATCGAGGTTTTCCAATTCCCCTAGGTGGATCTTCCGTATCCACCGAACCGGTTAAAGAGCCGGACATTCGCCTTTCCTCTTCTCAATTTCGTAAAAACCGGTAATGCGACGAGAAGGCAGTGATTAGGAATTCCCTGTCAGTGACTGTATACGCATGGTCATGTAAGAGCATTTCGAGAGGGAGGACTGACACTCCCTACTCTCGGTCGTAACCAAAGCATTGGGGGGGAGGCAAAGATAAACAGAGTGACACGGATCGACCAATAAGCAAAAGAATCCCGATCATTTGTCTTATTGTTTAAATAGGTCATTAGTCTAATTGATATAAAGAGAATTAGCGATAAACAACTTCTATAATCAAGTTCTTTTAAATATGACTATATAAACAAACATAAAATTCATAACAATAAATAATATTACTACTGAATCAAGTATTAAAACATTCAACAACAACAATAACAAAGAATAAATAAACTCACTTCCAAATAATAGCATTTTCAGCTGCTTTATATTTTGCTCTACCTTTCATACATACAACTTGTACACCACTTGTATTCATTGGAGTCGGTATATGAACTTCAATTTTTTGTGCAAATAAATTAGGACGAAAATTAGCTTTTAAAATTACTTTAACATCCATTTTAGTTTTACCAAGTTCACGAACTAATGGTATGACACGAAATGGTAAACTGATCTCCTAAAATAATGTTAGATTATTATTTTTGAGTAGTAAAGCAACAGAACAAACAAACAAACAATAGATTCTTATTTATCATTATTTACTCTGGAAGTAAACAAAAAGAAACACCTACATCTCAATATATGTAGGTCTGTACAATAAAATTTATGAACTGATTTTCATATCATGTTATCTTATCCTTTTTTAAGAATACTCCTCATTTTGATAGAGTTTTGTTCTTTGAGCTGGATGATTTTGGTTGCGAAGCTTTCATTGTTCTTCTGAACGACATCATCATCAGCAGCCCAAACTCCAGACCCCAAATGCCCTGGTACGGCCGAGAGTGGGAAGAGTACTCTCTTCCTCTCGAAATGCTCTCATATGGCCATGTGCATACAGCCACTGACAGGGAAGTTCTACTCACTGCCTTCTCGCGACATTACTCTTGTTCACAAAATTGAGAGGACGAAAAGCGAATGTCTGGCGCTTTAACCGGGTTGGTGGACACGGAGACTCCACCTAGGGGAGTTGGAAAACCCTCACTCCAAACCAATGTTCCACATGGGCTCCAGTATCCTGAAGGAACAAATGGTATATGAACCTACTGTTGGTCACCGGTTACCATAGGACTACATCTGACGTTGTTCCACTGCCTTATGAATCAGACTTTTAGGTCAAGAGCTCCGGGTGTGGCTCCCTAAAAAAAACCACCTGCTTCGGTTTTGGCACAAATTTAATGAGATTTGTGTGACGCATATGTATCTGGTGCCCCCTTGCACCAATACCTATGTGTTCAAATAAATAATAATAATAATAAATAGCACAAACTCCAAGTAGAAGTGAAGTGTTCGAGCCATACATAGAGAAGTTTGGATACTTCACTTCTACTTGAAGTTTGTGTTGATGATGATGTCGTTCAGAAGAACAATGAAAGCTTCACGACCAAACCATCCAGCTTAGATAACAAAACTCGATCAACATCATCCATCTGAGCTAGAAATCTTCTCCACAATCACAATACTCCTCATCTTTTTAATCGTACACTTGTTCCATAATCATTTTTATTGCTTAAAACATTTCCGAAAATTATCATCAATTAGACTCTTAAAGTTGCATTTACGTTTTATGTTTTATTATCTATCTATTTGAACACTTCAATATTAGCATAAATCGATATCAGAATAAATAAGCGCTAAATGAATAAGTGAATGAAATTGTGAAGATATAAAAGAAGTAGAGTGAATATGGTAAAAAAGGTAATTAAATGAGTGAAAATAAATTAACGACAGTAGAATGTACTGAGAAATGAAGTTTGGTATACAAAGATACAACTAGAAAGAATCGTTTCAGTTAAAGGAGTTCCTCTCACTTATATGAGGAATGTAAGAGAAAATTAAAGTAGAAGTAGGTCCAAAAATAATCGTCCTGATAAGTCTTCTAAGTGAACACTCGGATAGGTTTCCTAAGCTCTTCTGATAACTCCAAGGCTAGTTTTATGTAAAAAAAAAAAATAGAGGGTATTTATAGAATTTCAGATAGTCATGGGCTTCCGAAGGTTTCTAGAAGCATACGACAAGAACCAGGGAATTGTGATGGACCGACAGATGACAGTCTTATACCGTTTTCATACCACGACACCATTTATTCATCTACGTATTTGTATATAAGATTTTAGAATAAAAGTAAATCCCAGGACTACAAACCACCAGGCTCAGATGCCCTACCTCCGGCCCGTTTTAAAAATGATGGCGAACTTCTGGTTGAGCAACTGACTGAGTTGTTTACTAAGGTCTGCAAATTGGAGGGTGTTCCAAGATCATGGAAGGAGTCAATAGTTGTCCCTATCTTTAAAAAGGGTTCACGTCGTTCCTGTAACAACTATCGGGGGATAAGTCTATTTCCGATTGCGTCCAAGCTATTGGCTTCCGTCATACTTCGTAGGTTGTTCAAAACCCGAGAAAGATTGACTCGCGAGGAGCAGGCTGGGTTTCGTTCCGGTCGAGGATGTATTGATCATATATTCACCCTCCGCCAAATGTTAGAAAACCGCCATACTTATCAAAGGCCAACAATCGCAGTGTTTCTTGACATCAGGGCTGCTTTCGATTCGTTGGATACTTTCTATTGCGTCCAAGCTATTGGCTTTCGTCATACTTCGTAGGTTGTTCAAAACCCGAGAAAGATTGAGTAACTAAGAACAGGCTGGCTCTCGTTCTAGTCTAGGATGTATCAATCATATATTCATCCTCTGACAAATTTTAGAACACTGTCATACTTATTACAGGCCAACAATCGTAGTGTTTCTTGAAATTAGGGCCGCCTTCCACTTGTTAGATAAAATTGTTCTCTGGGATTGTCTATTGAAGAAGGGTGTGCCTGAGAAGTTTATTAACATCCTAAAGGCCCTATATACAAACACCTCAGGCAGAGTGAGGGCATACAACCACCTTTCTCCATTGTTCCATTCGAGCAGTGGGGTTAGACAGGGTTGCCCAATCTCACCATTCCTCTTCAACTTTGCCATCGATGACATTCTGGAAACAGCTCTGATGGATGTTAGTAATGGCGGTGTAGATCTGTTGCCTGGAGAAAGACTTCTCGACCTTGAGTATGCGGATGATATTGTCTTACTGTGTGATAATGCCCAAGGCATGCAATCCGCACTTAATCAGTTGGTAATTAATATCCGTAGGTATGGCACGTACTTTTCACCTTCGAAGTGCAAATCACTTTCACAATACTGGCAGGACCTTAATCCTGCACTCATTCTGGGTAGACAACAGTTAGAATTAGTAGACAATTTTGAATATATGGGTAGCTGAGTAATTGATGGTGATTAAGTGAGAGATGAGACCAACTCACATATAGTCAAAACCAGAGAAGTTTATGCCAACGTGGATCGTGGTCGGCGTCTTCATGATGTTAGTCTACTTGCAAAAGGTCGAATCTACAACGCGTCGGTGAGAGAAGTTTTGCTCTATGTTTGTGAAACCTGGTCTCTCCGAGTTGAAGATGTTAGACTACTCTGTATTTGATTATCTCAGAACCAAAGGACGTGTTTACTGCGCAGCAGTTCGTTCCGTCCTACTTTATGGCAGTGAAACATGGCCGGTAAGAGTAGAGGATATCCGTAGGTTACTAGTATTCGATCATAGGTGTCTTCGAAACATTGCTCGTATATCATGGGACCATCGAGTAAGTAACACAGTTGTTAGGAAACGGGTACTAGGTAAGGATGGCAAATCAATTGATGACGTAGTGAAACTTCATCAGTTGAGATGGCTGGGACACGTGTTACGTATGCCCAACGACCGACTGCCTCGACGTGCTATGTTCAGTGGTATAGGAGTAGGTTGGAAGAAAGCTAGGGGCGGCCAAACCAAAACATGGCACAAGTCCATGAAGTCACTGACAAGTGAACTGAGTCATGTTGGTAGGTGTAGACTACCTGGTTGGGGACCGCGAGATGACAGCAACCGATGGTTAGAGACCCTGAATGACATGGCTCAAAATCGTTCGCAATGGCGCAGGTGCATCCACTCTCTGTGTTCTCCCAAACTCTAATCTTCTGAATTCTTCATGTCTCTTTTTCCCTCTTTCCAAATTTCTTTCACTGGATTATACTCTTTAAATAACATCTCCAAACCCTAATCTTCCCGATTACTGCTTATACTCTTGCTACCTCTACCACTACGGGATTTGAATCGACCACTGCATCTCTGTTCTAATGTGGTGTGGCAACTCGAACTGATGTACGTACGTACGAAGTTCTACGTTGTTACTGACTGACTGACTGACTGACAGAACGATTGCTGACATCTAGTGGTAACAATATGTTAGTAATGCAGAGAGGTGGTCAGTGTATGACATGGTGTCGTGGTTATGAAAACATCTCAGCAGTTGGTTAGAATGCTAGAGAACAGAGATGAAAAGTGTTAAGACTGTAAGATAGTATAATCCGAACACTGATTGAATTACAAACGATTTATCTAACCATTATTTGACTTATTTGAATCGTTTTATTAAATGTTTATTTTTTTATCGAAAGTTCAGTCTATTCGCGTTTCCAATATCGTTCTCATTTGAAGTACACGAACTCAGTACTAATTTATTGCTGAATGAAACCAAAGTGATGTACCAGTTTGACATAGGTAATCTTAATTTCATGTAACTTGATCTCTTGATAAATTTGAATAAAGCAAGGACAACAAAACAAATGCTTCCTTTTATTTATGGGCTTCTCATCAGCTGAAAACACCTCTAAAGTTACAAAGAGTAATGTGATTAGAAACAAGGATTTAACATTACTTAGCGAATTTGAACTGGGTGTTTGAAATGGAGGCAAGAGACACTTTAATAAACATGACTAATGATTATTAACGTGTTGAAGGACACCTACAAAATTACAACTAGTTATATGAAATAAGTGGGGGATAACTAACAAAAGCTTCTGCCAGGTTTCTGAACATGTTCCAGGGAACCTGTTTGAAAGATAGTAAGGTTTATATATAAACAATCAGTAGGGTCTTAATAAGTGGTGAACAGGGCGTCGATATTTCTAAACGTAACTTAGATGCATAGAAGGAAAATGTGATAAGTTTTTCTTTGTCATGATAAATATAACTAAATAATTCTGTGATACATAATCTTGACTTTATAAAATCATTTGACCTTGACTTCACCTATGATGATTGATTACAATAGTCACTTATTCTATTGTGGTTATGTAATCCTGTTATTATTATAATGGTTAGTAGCTTCACCTCACTTTATATGAATAGTTGTGTTTTTTGTGGATTTTCTTCAACACAAAAATACACAACACTGATAACTACGTTTATTCCCATTTATTGTGTCTTCTTCTACTGATTAGGATTTTCACCTCCATTTCAAACGTCCATTTCGAATTCGCTAAATAAAGTATTTTAAATCCTTGTTTCTAATTAGATTACTCTTCGTAACTTTAGTCAGTCAGTCAGTAACAACGTAGAACTTCGTACGTACGTACATCAGTTCGAGTTGCCACACCACATTAGCACACAGATGTAGTGGTCGATTCAAATCCCGTAGTGGTAGAGGTATTTGCAGCTGATGAGAAACCTAGAAATAAGACAAAGAATTCATTTTATTCTGTGAATGTTGATTTATATGCACATAGAAATCAACTTGTATCCAAAATTGTATTACGAATGTTGATTTACTTCATTTATTCAGATGGTTTTAAGTTAAGATAATTCAAAGTGAGAATAAACTAGGTAAATAAGCTCTGTGAATAAAACATTATCATATTAAGCACTGAACATTATGCTTAACAATAGGATGTTAACGATGTAGCGACTTTATCTGATTCAAGAACTTGAATTTCAACCAGCAGGTTGTAGGTTCGCAATCCATAACATTTAATTCGGTATTTCAAACTGACTAATAATATAATTACATTTCATATTTAAGGTGTCGCTCAGACCAGAATACGTAAGCGCACATACGATAAATGATTTACATCATATTAATTAGTTACCTTAGTAGTTCTATAACGCATCAATTCGAATTCACCGTCTGGTGGAATAAAAGAGATTGTATGTTCAGTTTCGAATCGACCCAGTTTAACACATTGATGAAATTGACAGTCATCTATTGCAATACCTCCACTACTGAAATGAATTAGAGAGAAAACAGTAGATAAATAGAAAAATCAAAGTGAATTCGATTATGAGGAATAAATTAATGGTCATCAGTGTAATTTTAGGAAGAAAGTAAATGCGTAAGAGAACTGTTTTAGTCACGAATCAGTTTCTGAATAAATTGATAACATGTCCTTTTTTTTCTCTTTCCAAATTTATTTCACTGGATTATACTCCTTGAATAACATCTTCAAACCATAATGTTTCCGATTACTGCTTATACTCTTACTAACTCTATCACTATGAGATTTGAATCGACAACTGCATCTCCGTTCTAATGTGGTGTGGCAACTCGAACTGATGTACGTACGTACGTACGAAGTTTTACGTTGTTACTGACTGACTGAGCGATAACCAATGGGTCATGTTATGTGTGTTCACAAATCGGAACGGGGGTTTAAAGGTTTTTTTATACGACAATTTTACAGGCAATAATTGCAATCGTACAAATTGTAAGAAGTGATGAAAAATACAAACAGTAACAAAACTAAGTAAAAAGACAATCTACTTTAGCTATCTCCACACGGACACAAATGTAACCCTTGAAATTGATACAAACACCAGGTCTACTGTTGTTCATTCCCTAGCTATTCTGAGAAACATATCAGCTTATCATATAATAGACAATTATAACGTCTCTGATTATAATAATAAGTGACATAGATTCAACTTAGGCAGAGAACACTAGTTTGCCAAAGACTTTGAGTACGCCTAATTGATAAATGCCAGTTAGGATCACGCTTGAATTCATGGCTTTTTAGTTATTACTTTCAAAGCCCTAAACATTATATAATGTATATATATAGAGAGAGTTAAATCGGTTACTGCGATCCTGACACGTTTGTTGTTCAATTAGCTTTATTTTGCATAATCAGAGTTCTTGCCTAATGTTATTGTTTGTTTAGTTGCTAACCATGAGTAGAGCTCCATTTTTTTCATGAGCTATTAAGAAATGAATGATAAATATATATTTGATATTATTAACATTTAAAAGTTTAAAGTGTAAATTTTAAATTAAACGAATAGTAAAAGCGATTTACCTGTCTTCTGTACCAGCTGTAGATCGTTGTTTATTTTCCAAACTGACTTTGTCATTAAAACCAAATTTACATTCTGGCATACCACTTAAATAAGACTTCATGATCACTCGACCTGCCACGTGTGCGGATAAAACTTGTCCTGATAAAAAATTTTATGATGAAAAGCTTTTACCATTTTAGTTAACTTATCACATTGGGCAAATCAACGAATCAAATATATTCTTAATAAATGAGGATTAACTATATTTTGAATCGCTCCCAAATGCCCTGGTACGGCCGAGAGCGGGGTGGGTTCGCCCTCCCTCTCGAAATACTCTCACACGGCCACGCGTATACAGCCTCTACCAGGGAAGTCCTACTTACTGCCTTCTCGTGGCTGGGGGATTGTTTACGAAAATGAAAGGACGAAAAGCGAATGTCCGGCGCTTTAACCGGATTCCAAACCAATAGTGCACATGGGCTCCAGTATCCTGCGGGAACAAACGGCGTATGAACCAATTGTTGGTCACCGGCTACCATGGGACTGCATCTCCTCACGATGCTCCACTGCCTTGTGGGTTAGACCATTAGGTCAAACGCTCGGGGTGTGGTCCCCTAAGATAACCACCTGCTTCGGTTTGGGCACCCGGGCAGTATCACAGCCCACACACAATTAATGAACTGAACTGTCTATGATCATGGAAACTAATTCTCTTGCTTCGACGAACATTTAAATGATTCAATTATTATTATTGCTATTACTTTATTATTATTATTATTACTATTATTACTATTACTATTACTATTACTGTTACTATTACTATTACTGTTACTATTACTATTATTATTATTATTATTATTATTATTATTATTATTATTATTATTATTATTATTATTATTATTATTTACTACATCATTATTCACCCTCCTTTATTCCCACTCTGTTTATACTTATTTTTTTCGACTTATACAGCAGCTCGTCTATGGTGGAAATTCGACTGTATCTAAACGTTCTCGAGTCACTGTCCGGTTGAAAATTGTATGTTACCACCGAATACGAATACTAAAGCAGTTTTTCTGAAACCACGTGCACCAATCAAACTGGCTTCCTTCAGCGTTCGCACACTTATGCAGGTCGGACAACAGATAGGGCTGACTATGTCTTTGGAAAGTCTTAATATCAACGTTTGTTGTCTATCCGAGACCCGTATTCAAGACTCTGGTGAAGTACTACAAATTCGATCTCCATCTCTCGATTCAAAAAGCTTGTTTTACGTGCGCTTATCCGGGGACCCTGTGGCATCTTCGTCTGGTCTTGCTGGCGTTGGCGTCGCACTAAGCGCTAGAGCTGAGGCAGCACCAATCGATTGGATCCCCACTAAAAGTCAGTTATGTGCTGTTAGATCAGAGAGTCCCATCAAAGTGAGAAGAAATCGGCGTGAGAAACGATGTCTTTTCGTCATCGCCTATGCTCCGACAGATTGCAGCCCGGATACAATCAAGGATGAGTTTCACCACCAGTTATCTGTTCTTCTCCAGAAAGTGCGTTCGACAGATATTGTAGTACTAGCCGGAGACTTGAATGCTCAGGTCTGGCGTCTAGGCACAGAAGAGAGTCGTTTAGGTGGCCGATGGGGACTTGTTGGTCACAGGGGACCGTCTACTCCAACTGTACACAGACCACAACCAGTTTCCGGCTAGCACTAACTTTTGGCACAGTCATCGCCGATGTGTCACCTAGCATCCTCCCTCTGCATCCCAAGCCTGGACTCAGATCGATCACATCGCGATCAGCTACCGCTGGCGTGGCTGTGTACAAGACTGACGCTCCTTTTGGAGTACCTATCTGGACTCTGACCATGCCTTGGTCTGCGCCAATCTTGCCTTACTTTTCAGTGGACAACGAAGTGAACGCCATCAACGGATTGATATTAGCAAGCTGGTTGCAACTTCTGTTGCAAGTAAGTATTGAACCGAGCTAGCCTCTAGGCTAGCTACCACTCCACCAAAAAGTATAGATGAGCATTGGTTGCAATTGCATGACGCCATGAAAATGGCGGGTACAGTCAGTTGTGGGTTTGCGAAACGTCCCGCTTATAAGTACTGGGTTTCTTCAGGCTCCTTACAACTCATTGAAGCTCGTTGGTCTACTCCGGGTGACCGTGAGTTTGACCACAAACGAAGGTTGTTACGTAGTGAAATTGGGTAAAGCTTGCGTAAGGACCGAGAAGCCTGGTGGTCGGAGCGTGCTAATGAGCTGGAAGCAGCAGCTGCATCTGATAATTACCGAAAGCTCTTCCAACTCATCCGAGCCACTGGCAAGAAGAAGTCTGGTGTGAGCGAAACAATCTACGAGGATGACGGGATGCCAATCACTAACATCCATCGACGTCTTGGACGATGGGCAGAATTTTTTAAAGGGCAGTTTAACTGGCCTGCTGCTCCGGCAACATCGGTCACACTCCTGCCCTTCATGGCCGGTGACGACTGATCCACCAAATGAGGCGGAAGTCCGCAAGGAACTCCAACTCTTGAAGCGCTACAAATCACCTGGCCCAGATGACTTACCTCCGGCTCTTTTTAAAGATGGTGGTGACTTTCTGACTAAGGAATTGACGACGTTGTTTACAAAGGTGTGGGAGCTAGAGAGTGTACTAACGTCATGGAATGAGTCGATAGTCTTTCCTATCTTTAAAAAGGGTTCACGTCGTTCCTGTAACAACTATCGGGGAATAAATACATTTCCAATTGCATCCAAGCTATTGGCTTTCGTCATACTTCGTAGGTTGTTCAAAACCCGAGAAAGATTGAGTAACTAAGAACAGGCTGGCTCTCGTTCTAGTCTAGGATGTATCAATCATATATTCATCCTCTGACAAATTTTAGAACACTGTCATACTTATTACAGGCCAACAATCGTAGTGTTTCTTGAAATTAGGGCCGCCTTCCACTTGTTAGATAAAATTGTTCTCTGGGATTGTCTATTGAAGAAGGGTGTGCCTGAGAAGTTTATTAACATCCTAAAGGCCCTATATACAAACACCTCAGGCAGAGTGAGGGCATACAACCACCTTTCTCCATTGTTCCATTCGAGCAGTGGGGTTAGACAGGGTTGCCCAATCTCACCATTCCTCTTCAACTTTGCCATCGATGACATTCTGGAAACAGCTCTGATGGATGTTAGTAATGGCGGTGTAGATCTGTTGCCTGGAGAAAGACTTCTCGACCTTGAGTATGCGGATGATATTGTCTTACTGTGTGATAATGCCCAAGGCATGCAATCCGCACTTAATCAGTTGGTAATTAATATCCGTAGGTATGGCACGTACTTTTCACCTTCGAAGTGCAAATCACTTTCACAATACTGGCAGGATTCCAATCCTGTACTCACCCTGGATGGTGAGCAGGTAGAAGTAGTCGAGAAGTTCGTGTATCTGGGTAGCTGCATAAGTGCTGGTGGGGGTGTGAGTGATGAGATCAATGCACGAATAGTGAAAGCCAGAGCGGCTTATGCCAATCTGGTCCAGTTTTGGAGCCTTCGTGATGTTAGTCCGGCTGTAAAAGGTTGGATCTACAACGCGTCGGTGAGAGCAGTTTTGCTCTATGCTTGTGAAACCTGGCCTCTTCGAGTTGAGGATGTTAGACGACTCTCTGTGTTCGATCATCGCTGTCTCCGAAGGATTGCTGACATCTAGTGGCAACACCATGTTAGTAATGCAGAGGTTCGGCATCGTGTGTTCGGGCACAGAGGTGATAATGCAATGGATGTCACCATCTTGAAACACCGACTTCGGTGGCTTGGACATGTTCTACGAATGTCGTCCCAGAGAATTCCACGTCGTGCACTATTTGCCGACTCTGGGACTGGTTGGAGAAAGCGGAGAGGTGGTCAGTGCATGACATGGTGTCGTGGTATGAAAGAAATCTGCAAAGGACTGGCTTCTGTCGGTCCTTCATGACTCGCTGGTTGGGGTCCGAGAGACGGTGCTACACTGACTAGAGACGTTATCAGATATGGCTGAGAATAGAAGCCAGTGGCGATCCTGCTGTAACCTTTTACTTTCTTCATAAAAAGTGGTTGTGTCTTCCTTAACTGAAAGATTTCTTCTGATTGTATCTTTCCGTTCCCTCATTATTACTATTATTATTATTACACTACCTTACACCAATCTCTTCGTTATTGTTTTTTATTATTTTTTTACGTTCTTCACTTTTTTTCTCCTTAGATTCTCATTGTTTTGTGTGGCGCATATATATTCGGCGCACTTCTGTACCAATATATATGTGTTCAAATAAATAATAAATATATAAATATTTTGAATCGAATACAAAAAAATACGTCGAAAAATTGATGTTACTTGAGACGGTTAAATGACAACATTACGAGACATACACTTAGGTGAGATACATATCAACCTCTAGCAATGATCAAACAACTGAGCCCCAATGCTACCTTCAAGTGCAAATGCACAACGGAACAACCGTTAGATAATATGTTGTACATTTTAATAACTATGTGGAGATCTGTGTAACGACTTAGAATTCACGTTCATTATGACGTGATAACCAACAAAATTGACCGAACGTAGGTTTAAGACTGTGATTCAATGAATAACCCAGTTAGTTATACCACTCAATCTTCACCATATTAAATCAAAACACAGGAATAAATCACACAGATGCAAATTAATTGTGTCTTTTCACAATCACCAGAAGAAAAAAGAAAGATCAGATGAAAATTTAGATTCTTAGCCCAATAAGAAATAAATACACGAATTATCAGTCCTAGTAGATTTTAAAACTGTCCGACGTTAAAACCATGAAGTTTCACACAAAACATGATATAAAACATGAACAGGATCAAAATACTTAAAAACGAAAAGAACTATATACGTTTTCGTTGTTCAAACTGATACATTTGTGCATCGTGGTAATAATCCGCTATTCCGACTGTGAAAACTACTATCCTCATCTTTACCATGCTCCATTAACTACGGTAAAGTTTGGTGGAAGCTTTCAGATGTTAACCCAGTATGATCAATCAAGACACATTGTTTGTCGATTATATAACAGTTAAAAAGTGATAAGGATGTTGACACTGAGTGTTTGTCATTAACAAAATTGAGAGGATGAAAAGTGAATGTCTGGCGCTTTAACCGGGTTGGTGGACACGGAGACTCCACCTAGGGGAGTTGGAAAACCCTCATTCCAAACCAATGCTCCACATGGGCTCCAGTATCCTGAAGGAACAAATGGAGTATGAACCTATTGTTAGTCACCGGTTACCATAGGACTACATCTGACGTTGTTCCACTGCCTTATGAATCAGACCTTTAGGTAGAGAGCTCCGGGTGTGGCTCCCTAAGGAAACCACCTGATTCGGTTTGGTCAGCCGGGCAGTATTCCAGCCATCACACAATTCGGATGAATTATTTATGTGGCGCATATTTATTTGATGCCTCCTTGTATATGTTTATGTGTCTAAAATACAATAAATACTACGTTTTGACTGATTGAAGTTGCAATTCGAAGTTTCACACACTTAAAACAAACAAAATGCAGAAGAGGACTCAAACATAACTGCCGCGGACATCCTTTTTAAGTTACATCTGGTAATAAAGCTTAGTTTGTAAAACATCTGTGATTCGATTCGGGCACTTCATATATGGACACAAGTAAACTGTGAAAACGAACTTTCAATAGCTGGCATTTAATAACCCTAATTTCCCCACATAATACACAGCAAGAAGCAACAAAAAAGCCCGGCACAAGTATATGTCGATCTGAGTTATCCAACGCGTCTGTGAGATCACTTCCTTTGTTCTTGTGAAACAAGTGTTAACAATCAGAATATTCGTAGTCTGTTTGGACGGAAAGATGTTAAACCTATCAGATTTAAGAGTCACTATTTGCAAGCTTTTACGAAATAAACGGTAGGCTGCGAAAAAACCAATGGAGGTTACGGTTTTCCTGTTATCAACATATTTCTTAGAATTTAGCACAAATTGAACAGAGAAGAAATATGGTGTTTAAAGTACCTTGTGGTGACATAAGAAGATTGACAGACTCCATGATATCCAGAAACAGTTCATTCCTTCTGTATTTTATACCTTCACGGCGCCATCCAATCTGACCAGTAACTTGATTTGTTATTTGAGCAGTCTCCTCTTTAGTGGCTGTGCGTGTCCCAGCCTGAGTAATGAGGGATTTCAAAATTCCTGTATCTGTATTTTGCCCATATCCATAATCAATCACCTCTGTAACAAAAATAAGGTAAAAAGTTAGCTTACCATCGAGAATTTCGTATATCAAAACGAAGTTATTTTTTATGTTTTCCTCCGTAACTCTACCGAAGTAATCCTTCATCAGGTTCAGAAGAGCATGCAGCAGCTGAAAGACCATGGCAGCATTAACATTTCGACGAGCAACAGCACATATCCAAATGTTTGCTCTTTTGACGTGAAAGAAACTTGTCCTTGCTACGATGCTTATGGGCGAGCGAACCTGTTGTCGCGCATGAATTACATTGACTCGAAAAGCGTCTGCGGCATTTCTTGAGACATCGTCGCGAAATATTCTTGATATCAAAACTTCTCCTTTGTGGTTATAGATAAAAACTCCACCTATCATTTTTGTAACGCCTTAAGAGACTCAAGCGCCTTAAGCGTTCAAAAAGCAATGCCAGATAGTCCTCTCTGAATTATTTTAAGGAATTATTTAAATAATCATGTACATAATGAAAGGTGCTTTCATTAAACGAGCTTAAGTGTCTAGCAGTATTGAATCACTTGTATATCTAGGCACGGACCTAGACATATAAAAAAGTAAAACGGAAAACAACTGGTTGATATGTCTGAGATACCATGCCGAGTCCTTAATAACATATCAATTTACCTCTTGGGGGACGAGGAAGTTTCGCAAACCACTTCAGTTACTAAACTTGACTATTCGTTAGAAGAGCAGACAGTATGGTTGCAAACAAAACTCATATAACACGCCTAAGTCTGATGGCATACAAAAAATGCTCGAAGCCTAACTCGCATTGGCTTTGTATGTTCTGCTGTACGGATAAAAAGGTACTAATTCAGGAGGCTATGAGCCTATTGGCTTTGGCCTGCAAGAAAAACAATGACACATGCGCTGACAACACCGGCACCGACAGTGACGATTGTGTCAGTGTAGTACCTGCTGTTACGCGACGCCTCAAACAACCGACTCTGACCGACGCAAAAGTGAGGTCGTCGTTAAAATTAACAAAGGGAGTAATACCACCTGTTACTGACATTGATAACAATGTATCTTTAGTGGAAACCGACGAACTGGATAAAACCATCACCGTTCCAAATAGTCCCAATGTCCTGAGGGATGAAAAATGGACTACGGTACTTAGGAAACGAGACGAAAGGAAAAAAGCTGTAGGCAGTACATAGGTAGTTAGTAACTCACTGATGGACTCTCACTGTGAGTCACATACTGCACTACCAGAATCTGATGGTAAGAGTGAAGCTCATCCTGGAGTGACTGAGAAGAAAAATCAAATAACAGCTAAAACTAATGACTGTTTACTTGATAAGTCCTTGGTGGACTCTCAGACCAGTCCGCCAAAGCTTCAATGTAAAGCTTCGTCTTACACTGTTGTGAGTCACTCATAGGACTTTGTTACAATAAAAGCTAATCATAAGATACCTGTAGTTAATATACAGGATTTATCGTTACGGACGAAAGCTGTTAACACCATTTCAAAGGAGGCTAAACCCCTCCCTAGTTTAATTATTCGGATTCTAGAGGAGTCGAAAGATAACGACCCTGCTAGAAGACATGCACATGACCTGCAGTTAGTGGAGTCTGTGGTAAGAAATTTGCTACCTAAAGAGGTTTCAGGGGTACATATTACAAAAGTAATACGACTCGGTAAATGGGTTGGAGGCGAGACCTAACCAAGAAGAATCCTGAAGCTGGTTGTCGGGAGTTTTGATGAAAGAGATATATTATTGAAAAGCGCACTAAAAACTCGTGCCTCAAATATCCGTATTCGACCAGATTGGCCGCTTGAGGATCGAATCAAGTGGAAGAATGCTCTTACGGAGTTGAGGACTCGCGAATTAAATGGCGAAAATAACCTTACCATTAAGGGTTTTCGAGTAGTCAGGTCTTGGAAGCCAATGCTTCCGATGCTTGTATGGGTAGAACGATTGATTGCCAAAACACCTTAAGCGTGTGCTACACGAACGCTCGTAGTCTTAGAAATAAAACGTTCGAGCTAAGTCTGATGGTGGAAGAATTATGTCCCGATATAATCGTTGTTACAGAAACTTGGTTCACCGTTGATATAGACTGTTCTCCTTTCATTGCTGGTTATATCTGTATCAGAAGTGATAGAGTTTCAAGTTGCAAAGGGGGAGGTATAATATTATACGTTAGGGATCATTTTCGTATACAATCAACAATATCGGAGGCTCATGTCAGTGGCACATGGGAGGTTGCATGTTGTAAAATTAAATCTAGAAATTGGTTAGTGACTGTAGGGGGAATATACTGTAGTCCGTTTTGTCTTGCTGACGACTTTATCCCAGGACACATCTGTTCTTGGAGTATGGCAGAATGTTGTCTCATCATTAGAGACTTCAACGCACCGCATATAAACTGGATAGAGCCTACAGCTCCAGGTAGCGGTTTCGATAGCGACCTTTTATCTACAGTTATTCAGTGTGCACTTGTACAATGTATCACAAAACCAACACATATTGATTTGCAACATGTTTCGTCACTGCTGGACCTCGCCCTCACCCACCACTGTGAGGATGTCTTTGATATCCGGCACCTTCCCCCACTAGTGAACAGTGATCACGTTAAAATTCACTTTAAGTTTAGGACACATGGTATACAATTTGTATCTGCTCCACCTCGTCCCAATATTTGGCGAGCTAATATTCCGGAAATCAGAAACTGTGCTATCTCGACTGATTGGTCGGTCGACGCGGATGAATTGATCGAAGATGAATGGAATAAGTTTAAGGCTACATTCGAGTCCGTAACGTCGCCGTTTATCCCATGGTCAGCACGTAAGCTATCACATTGCCCTCCATGGATTAATAAGGAAACCCGGAAGCTGTTAAAGCGTAGGAAACATTTCTGGGACTTAATTTTGTTGACAGGTCATGAACCATTTAAGCGTGAGTACCAAAATTTCCGTAGTATCTGTAAGAAAACCATAGCCAAATCCCGTACCACTTACGAACGATAGTTGGTATATGATAGCCGTACTTGTCCGAGACGATTGTTTCCGTACGTTAAACGGCGGACGAAACGTAGTGATGGTATTCCCCCGTTACTATTACACGAAAATTCAGAATAACTAGCTGAATCAAATCGAGCAAAAGCTGAGACTTTTTCAAACTATTTTAGCAACGTCTTCTCTACGTTTATTGTAACAAATACTTGTCCCACTCACACCGAGATACCAACCATTGAATCTGTACAGGTGACTGAGGAAGCTGTCCTTGCGTTGATAACTAACCTCAAACCTGGTAAGGTACAGGGCCTTGACGGGTTACATCCACGGTTGCTGTCATCTCTTGCGGACATTATTTCAAAACCGCTCGCGAAATTCTTCAACATGTCCCTCTCACTCGCTCAACTCCCTAGAGATTGGAAGGACACTATGGTCAGTCCCATATTTAAAGACGATCAGAGACAGATAGTATCTAACTACAGGCCTGTTAGTCTAACTAGTATAGTCGTTAAGTTACTTGAAAAGATAATTCGGGTTAGGTTGCTAAGCCACATAGATTTACACAATCTGTTAGCTCCTGAGCAACACGGATTTCGTAACAAGCGTTCATGCTTGACTAACTTGCTTATTGCGAGGGAGGATTGGACAGCAGCCTTAGATAACGGTCTGTCTGTCGATGTGATATTCATAGATTTTAGCAGAGCATTCGACAAGGTTCCAACTTAGGTCTTATTCAGATATCTCGAGCTTCGGAATAATAGGTACTGTACAGGAATGTATAGGAAACTTCTTACGTAATATCAGACAGAGAGCGATGGTCGATGGAACGCTATCAGAATGGAAGCCGGTCAAAAGTGGTGTACCCCATGCATTATCTTAGGCCCCCTGCTCTTCCTTCTCTACGTTAATGAGTTACCGCTGTTACTTAGGTCGTCAACATTATTGTTTGCGGATGATGTAAAAATCTGGAGAACAATAAAAAGTGCGGCTGATCATCTGGATCTTCAAGCTGACTTAGACGATTTAGTTGGATGGGCTCGAGAGTAAGGCTTAGAAATCAATGCTAGGAAGAGTGTACTAATGCACATCGGTCACGGTAATAATTACCGTCACACTATTGAGGGTAAACCTCTTCCATGCGTTCAAAAGCATAAAGACTTAGGAGTAGTATTAAGTCATGATTTAAAAACAACTACGCTTTGCAAAGCAGCCGCTGTCAAAGGTTTTCGTGCTTTATGGTCGCTTCGCCGAGCGTTCAAATCTTTTGACGAGGAAACGTTTCGAATTTTATATTCCACCTATGTAAGACCACATTTAGAGTACTGTATCCAAGCAGCTAGCCCGTGTCTGGTAAAGGATACTAACTCCCTTGAGCGTGTCCAGCGTGTGGGAACGAAATTAGTGAAGGGTATTTCTAGACTCCCTTACGATGAGCGTTTAAAACACTTAAATCTTTTCCCCCTGTCGTATAGTAGGACACGAGGTGACCTTAAACTGGCATTTTGTATCTTTAATTATGATTCCGGTGTTAATATGTCTCATCTTTTTGCTCCCTCCAGCACTAATAATCTCCGAGTTCATAGCAAGAAGGTTCATAAACCACGATCTAATAGACTTAAAGTGAGATTCCGTTTTTCTCATCGAGTAGTCAGTCATTGGAACGCCTTACCCGAACAAGTGGTATCAGCCCCATCAGTGAATACTTTCAAGGAGAAGCTGGACCTTTACTGGAAAGCAGTGTGTTAGGATTAATACAGGTTCATCAACCTACTATCCTCATTACTGAAGACTGAAGACTGAACATTCTTGTCCGCAACCCACAGGCTGCTAACTTGACGAATCGATCGATTTAATCTACAACTGCGGTAAAAGCATCGGAACATGAGTTCAGAGTTATTCACCTTATTTTATACAGGTACCATATCTCACATTTCTTCCACTGAATGATGAACAGGTTTTTTAAACAATCGGTCAGGACCAAGTTATTCTGTAGATAATACAGGCAACCTAATGGGTTTTTTCTCATTTCTCAAAACAAGAATATAATGATAGTATGATGAATAAAGGGCTGGTGTACACGCGAATTGCAAATACGTCTTTGAAGTTATGGTTGTAGACTGAAATTTAGTAAGTGTTCTGTGGAATCCATAGAAGGTTTGTGATTTTGTTTTTAGTTACTGTGGCGTTTGAAAGAATTAATGATTCCTTTGTACTTGTTGAATGCTTGATTTTGAATTCCAAGTACAGTACATTCGTTCGTAATTATCTAGTACTTCTTGATCCAATTGCGTTATTTCTGGGATTCTTAGTTCGTACTATAATTCAAATACTCCTAATCATCATAGTTATCTATAAGCCACATATATCCTAAAGAGTATAGATTCATTGTGTGAATATT